CTAACTCACAGATCGAACCTTGAAACAACCTCTGCGCTGATCTAAGTCAGGGCAAAACAAAAAACAGAAACAAACAAACAAGCAAAAACAGAGAACCTAAAGAAAAACCCCCAGGTTATTCCAGTTTCTATTGCTATTGCTCAGGGTCAGCTTCGATGTTGTGTAGAATATATTATATTTTCTAGTGAAGTGTTTGTATTGTTAAAGTTTTGCACAGTTCTTTATTTGACGTTCGCCAGCTGAGGGTTCTGAGGGGTCGATAAAAATTTGAAAGTTTTCTATTTGACGCTGAAATGAGGCTAACCCTTACGACTCGAGCTGCAAACACATGCAGTAGAACCAGTTATGACCGGTTGAACAAGTTTTATTAGGTTAAGTAACCTTGATTCGTGATTGTGTTCCCAGATCATAGTATGGGGTGACTACGGCCGAATGGATCGCAAAGTCTTCATGGGAGTCGTACAAATTTTACTAGACGATCTCGATCTTAGCAATCTTTGTATGGGATGGTACAAGCTATTTTCCACCTCGTCCATGTGCGACCCACCCCTCCCCTCTTCGTCACCTTTAGGAGGCTCACCCAAAAAATCCCCAGGACCCTCCCCACGGTCGTCCATGGTGCACGCTGCAAGCCCCCGAATGTCTCCTTTACCGACAATAATGCCGCCACCGGGACACAGCCCGCGTAGTAATGTTTATGACGATCCTGATGGAGACTATGTATAACACTATCCCATCACCCCTCCTCTGGGGACATGTGGACTCTATTGTTGATCTCGGAAAAACACTAGCTTGGAATTTCCGGTCAAGAAATGAAATTGAAAATGAAAATTGAAAAAATGGGAAGGAAAAGGATGCATTAGAAGAACGAGTAAAGAATGGAAAAACTGCAAAATTGAAACAAGGAATCGATATTAGTGCTAAGATGTTCTGCGTCAATCAGTACACGAACTTGTAATATTTTTAAAATTGCGAACCCCGTGGGAAATGCGGCAAAGTAGAATATTCACTCTGGATTAATCACGTTATGAACCTCGTCAAATCTGTTGCCTTCCGGCTCATTTTTAACTTCGTAACGGCACGAAATGTTTCTTCTCAACCGCATTACCTTTTATGAATACTTTTCGGAAACTAACTACCGTAATGCTACAGTTGGTGATGATTGGTGACGAGGAACGAAAGCTTAGTCTTCTTAATATTGGTGGAATTATTATATTCCTTTGTGCTCATTTTACAAATGGATTGTGTCCTCCATACTTTGTTTTGATTGGTTGTGCTTGGAATACACAGACCAGTAAAGTAAGAACATAAAAGAAAAGTGGTTGAGAAAAGCGTCTCTTCCTGGCCGTATTGATGGGTTGCAAGCATTCCCAAGAGAGTTAAAAGACAAAAACATGGCAGCCATTGTGGTACCGTTAACAATGGATGCTAATGAGAAATCTTTTGTTAAATGGTACCAACGTGGCCGCGATGACGTAACGTGCAAACGAAGAATAATGACCAAAAATCCTGGACTCGATGGCGTTCCTTTCATCTTCGAGCCATCGACTTTGCGTTCAATCGCCGTCTTACGTACTACGCTGTGATACTTCGTTGGTTTGTTTGATCCGATTTTGGAGGAAAAGCAAAGCTTATCTACAACCAAGGAAGCCACTTTACTGTCACGTTTCTAAATCTTGTGATAAAAAATCCAAAGACGTGTACGAAAGGAGAGCCGCTTGTAATCAATTAACAGGATAAAAAGAGACAAGCAAAGCCATTCAACTGCTGTATTTTGAACATAGTGGAGAGGAAATCATGGAAAAGAGCAAGGAAGCCAATGGGATGCTTTTTTAACTCACGAGAGAGGAATATCGGAAATAATAACAAAAGAAAGCCATTTCACTGTTATTCTAAAGTCAATTTTAAAAACAGGAACATTGGAAGCCATTAATATGTTGGTATAGATCACGTCACATGAAATGTGACTAGAGGAGTGGAAGCCATTCAACTGAGGATTTTTTCGAAAAATGGAAATGGAAAGCCATTCCTCTGTCAGAGATCACGTCATGTCAAGTTCGACAAAGAGCTAACAAAGGTAATAAGAAAATATTTCATTTGGTCCAACGAATGTTTTAAAATCATCTGGTTGCGCTAATGCTTCAAGCTTGAGAGCCGAAGACATATTTAATAGAATAAATGCTGAGAAAACTTGAGCAATAAGAATCTGCTATAAATAAATAGCTACTGTAATAATTACCACGGCTTACTGAGCCATTAAACTCACCAAAGATTTAAAAATTTAGCCGCATTTTAGAAAATTATGCAATAAGCTTAAAATGAATTAGAAAATTTTATTAGCACGAAACTTGGTTTGAAGAGAATTGAATACGATGAGACGAATAAGGACGGAGAATCGTCGGGCTGTAGAAAAAGCTTTTATTATGTATTATTCCCGGAATATTTAATGATTTTAATTATGTCACATATTATTTGAAATGTTTGAAAATATTAATCGTTTTAAAAGAAGAATGGAGAAAATTCCAAAATGAAATGAAATAATATAAAATGAAATGAAATGAAATGAACATCGGAAGCTATACGCGCTAGACGAAGATGCTTTCCAAGCCAGAAAACAGAGATTTTCTACAGATATTTAGTATTATTTCACAAGTGGATAAATAATAAATCCGGTGCGTTGTTTGGTCACAATTTACGTCTTATGCTGCTTTATTCACCTACAAGTGATTATAAGGCGAACGTAAACGCTCGTTTGTCGATGTCTGCCGCTTGCAGAGATAAATAAAAAAATTTGGGGGGGAGGGGAATGCTCTTTCCGTTATTTATTAAATTCACTTGTGTTAAAAATACTAAAGTTAAAATGTAATCTCAAGATATGTTTATTCACTGTTATCATAGTAATAATAGTTAATAATTTTAAGTTTTTACACACTTTTATGAATTTTAAAAATAGTCCGAAATTCCAATTACCGAAGATTTTTATCCTGGGAATTTTAGGAGCGTTGCTAGGGACGGTTGCTAGGCTTACGCATACCTTAAATTGTATTCGTCAAATTGAAATATGGATGCCATATGTTGAAATCGTAAGTTTTTTTTTCTTCAGTCTTCGATAAGGTGCTTAAAACCTTTGATTTCCAGAAACGTCTTCCGCTGTTTCCTCATTCGAGGTACCATTACACCAAGAAAAATTGAAAAAAGAGAAGGAATCCCCACGCTACAACATGAGCAATTGTGATGCTATTTTTACAATCATTCATTTGAACGTTTGTTTTTCGGCACGCGCACGCTCTACGCTATTTGCCCATGTTTTCTTGTGTTTTTCAACAACAACAACAAAAAACGTATGCAAATAGCGTAGAGCGCGCGCAGTTTGCCAGAGGAAAAAAAACGAAAAACGAATAATGATTCTATAAATAGCATCAAACGGTGCCTATGGTTACAAGCATGAATACCAGAGATTCCTTCTCTTAGTTCATCTTTATAACATTCTGACAACCGCAAAAATTGGGATAAAAAATATATGGCCTCCATATATCGATTCGGTCGTAGTTAATCACAACTAAATGATCACTTCTGTGACTTTAGGGAATTTTATTAGATAAGGTTATTTCAAAATATCCACACACAAGCACACATACGTCACTACAAACCTATATCTGGTGAATATTAGCAATTCCGAGCTTGAGGAAAAAAAACTGGATTGAGTTGGCATTGCAATGCATTGTGGGACTGTTTTAGGGAACATATTTCCAAGATGGCGTCTATTTCGTCCCCCAACAGTCCCAAAATGCACTGCAATCCAACTTGACCTAGTTTCAACCCCTCGGCCTCAGAATGGCTAATAAAAACGATTGGGATACTTAAGTATATTTAGCAGTTTACGTAGTAAGCGGTAGCTAGGACTTGTAGATATTGGGAGTGAGTTCTAGTACCAGGACGAAAGAATAAGAGGCTTTTTGAACTCAATTCGTATTTTCTTCCTTTACGGATTTTATTCTTTCTTTGTACATTACAAACGATTTCCTAAGCTGTAAGATGATATTTTGTATGTAGGATTTTTTTGTACATAGAATCAACATGGTTTCGAGGCCTTCATGTAAGACTTTAGGCCATATTATAATACCAATCTATGTGTTTTGCACAACGTTTATTGTCAATTTATAATTCCTCGTATATACTCAGATTATTCGAAAATAAATGAGAAAACCTCTTGTTCTTTTGCCCCGAGAATGGAACTCAGCGAGTCACGAAAAAGACAGTTAATTATATCTCGAAAAATATTTAATAAATTCCAAAAGTTATCAAATAAAAAGTGTTTACGAGACAGAGATAATTTACGCAAAGAATTTTGTTCTTGGAGCTAGAGAGGGACTAGGCCCTTTATACCTCTCTCATCGGCCCTCCGTCTTCCACCTTCATCAGACGTCCATAACACCAAGACCAGACAACGACACACCAGACCACAACACACCAGACTACAACAGACCAGACCACAACACACCAAACTACAAAACACCACACCACAACACACCACTACAACAGACCAGACCACAACACACCACACTACAACACACCAGACCACAACACACCACACTACAACACACCAGACCACAACACACCACACTACAACACACCAGACCACAACACACCAGACCACAACACACCAGACCACAACACACCAGACCACAACACACCACACTACAACACACCACACTACAACAGACCAGACCACAACACACCAAACTACAACACACCACACCACAACACACCACTACAACAGACCAGACCACAACACACCACACTACAACACACCAGACCACAACACACCAGACCACAACACACCAGACCACAACACACCAGACCACAACACATACACAAGACCAAACACATGCACCAGACCGCAACACACCAGACCACAACACCCCAGACCACAACACCCCAGACCACAACACCCCAGACCACAACACCCCAGACCACAACACCCCAGACCACGACACACCAGACCACGAAACACCAGACCACGACACATCAGACCACAACACACCAGACCACAACACACCAGACCACGATACACCAGACCACGACACATCAGACCACGACAACCAGACCACAACACATCAGACAACAACATACCAGACCACAATACATCAGATCAGGCAGGAACACATCACAACACACCAGACAAGAGAAGACGAGCACGCCATAACACATCAGATCAGACAAGAACACATCCCAACACACCAGACAAGAGAAGA